TTCAGCAGCGGCTGAATCTGGACGCCAGTTCCGACTTACATACAGATTCAACTTAAGAACAAACCTACAGTCCCTATCTTGTACGTAACCCGGGGACTGCCTGTATATATTTGAGAGAGTCCTATCCTTTCCTCCATCTGTCTGTTTATTCAAGAACTCCTCCTAAATGGTAGAGATAGGACCACCAAATTAGGTATTCAGTGTCCTTGTATCATAACTAAATCAAGAGAATGGTTTGGTTGTGCCAGGAAAATGGGATGTGCCTAGAATGGGATTGCTTCTCGTAAAACCATACAGAAAAGACACAATCACCAGGCAAGTGAAAGGGGCTGGCTGGGGACTCAGTCTGGAACTGTCCCAGCCCTGAGCCTCCCTCCAGATTCCTTTTAGGGAGGATAGGGGGGTTGTAGCTCTCCCCTACCCCCTGGATTCATACAGGAACATTGCTGGCGATTTCCCTTTGTCAGGGAGTGAAGGGAAAGTGCATAGTTTGCTGCATTCTTCACTCTGGCTGGGGAGGACAACGGGGTAGATGAACTTGGACCTGTCCCAGTCAGGGCACATGCACCCTTCCCCTGGCTGTGCTCACTGGAGCTGCAGCGACCATAAATCTAATAAAAGACTATCAGGCAAAATGTTGTGCCAATGAGATCTATTTCTAGGCAGTGAACACTAGATCTCTACATCACTGGGCCAGTAGGTTTGCAGCACAGACCCAGGATTCCCCTCCAATTGTGCATTAAGGTCAAACATTCTTTGTTTTTCTTTATGAGCTCCAACTGAAAATTTAAATTAAAAATAGATAACACATAGTTACAGAACATGCGGGCCTCTCTGTTAGCCAACACTTTGTACGTTCTCCGAAGTTGCCTTTGGAGCTTGGGAGGTGCTCCTCATGAACATCCCCAAGGGTCACTTCATTATCTTCCGTCAAAACCCTCCTCAAAATTCCTCTTTGCTTCAAAATTCCCCTTTCCCAAAATGCTAATAAAAATGGTGAAGCCAATGACATGTAAAAACCACTGCTTCTCACACTAACCAATACTGTTCCCTTATGCCTGACTGTAGCCAGTTGTTGTCTCATCTTGTACCAAAAATAGCTTGTAAACTCTTGGGGGTAGTCTTTTTGTTCTGTTTGTACAGTGCCTAGCACACTGGGCTCTTGATCACTGTCTGGGGCTTCTAGGTGACACAGTAAAACACTAAATATTAAAGGTCTAGAGTTACTGGAATGGCTAGAGAAAAATTAGGGCTGTCTGGTGCAGTCTGAGACCTCTGGAAGAGAGAGAGATCTGTTTTCTGATCCCCTTTTCTGAAGACTGGCTCCATACCTGTGACTGGTGCTAGGAGGACTGCTGTGCAGAGCTCCACTGAAGTCAAAGATGTCTGCCCACACAGATACGATGGCAGAACTGAGGCCTTGTTTTGTTATTCTGATCCCAGGTAGAATAACATCCAGAGAGGTCAAAGATATGGCAGAACAAATGGGTGTGAGTTAATTAAGTTATTGGTATGTACTAGTCTTAGCATTTCAACATTTTTGGGGTTTCTGTGCATTTTTATGTAGCTATAAAAATCCTCAATATGTACAAGAAAATGTAATATTCCTAAATATGTTAGTTTGCCTATAAAGGCTTCATTGAGGAAATGAACTGTTTTTATCTCACATAGGATTATTTTTGAGCTAAACACAAGCATGGAACATACCACAAAGTAAATGTTTACTGGAGCTCCCTAACTAGGTGATATTTTTATATTCACACATGCTAAACGACTGTGACTTTGTCCTTCACTCAGGGCATTACAACAGGAGCTTGTATGAAATTTAAAGAGAAATATAAGTTCTTTTGGATTTGGGCTTCTTTTTAACTCTCTATTGTTCACAATCTCCTGGTAGAAGATTGAAAATAAAGGCCTCAGTCCTCCCATTCCTTCTTCAGGCACAATATCCAGAGAAGTACAAAAACTACTATTTTACTTCCTTGAGTAGGGCCTTCCATTCTCAGAGGGAAACAATCTGTTTATTTCTAAGTTTCTGATATGGTATTGAAGACCATAGGAGCCAAACATGATGTCCTATAGTATTGCTGATATCACCATACAGAGTATGACTGCAATATAGAGTACGGTAGCTTTTCTTTATTACCAGATTTTTAAAGTGTACAAGTGTGTCTCTCTTTGAGGAAACTATCTACAACATTAATGGTTCCCACCATTGTTGGTATTCTGCTCCTCTTGGCTTTCTTCATCATTTATTTTCTCTGCTAAATGCCAAATGCCTCCTAAATGTTTAACTTTACCTTGGATGGGATTTCCTTTGTTTACTTTTCAGTGAAATTTTAGGTAATCGAATCATGTTTCCACCCTACCTTTCTCTGTAATTTCCTGCTATAATTGACAAATGTCCTGAACATTCAGAGCTTTTCACTGAAGAGGTGGTTACTGTCCTTTAGTGCCAGTCTCTGTAGGTATATCAGATTCCTACTCTATCATAGCCTCTGACAACCAGTCAAATGCCTCCTTTCACAAGGTGCAGTTTGTTAACCAGAAAAGATTGTGGAATTTGTATCCAATGTTCCCTTTCCAAATGATGTCTATCTCATGTCCCACATGGCATAAAGCTTCAGGTCAATGAGGGGTGTATAACTGCTCCTGAACTATAGCCTGACTAAATCTGCTGTGGGTGTGTATCTCTCTGGAACAGCTGAAAAATCATGGGGAATTCTTGGTGGCAGTTTTCTATGAGGGATGGTGGTGAACAACTTTCTAACTAAGAAAAAAGATTAATGCCAACTTCATTTTCTTGTTCACTTCTTTTTCTGCCCTATTTTATGCATTTCTCATTTTATACTGTGACCTCAAAGAGTACTATTTTCTTGCCTGTTTTTAACTCTTGGTCTCTTTTTTTCTAATATCTTTTTAATCACTGTCCTCCCAGATGATTTCTCACACCCCAAGATCAATGCCACTGAATACAGCTTTCCACCCTTCATTTAGTTATTCTGAGACTGTGGAACAGTAGACCAGACCATTAATAACCAACCGAGATACCAAAGGGAAAGTCATGGTGACCAGGGCTATGTCTAGACTGCAGAGTTTTTCTGGTATAGGTATCGCAAAAAAGCTTTACCAGGTCCAGGGAACATGTCCGCTTTTTCAGAACAGTTTCCGAAAAAGAGGGCAGGTTCTTTTGGCATCCCTCTATTCTTCTCAGTGAGAGGAATAAGGATGTTCTGAAAGAGGAGTTTTTTCCAAAATTTGGCCAAAAATTGTAGTTTGCATATCTTTTTCTGATAGGTTATGTTGAGACTGCAGAGTTTTAAGTCAGCACTAACAGCAGCTGGGAAGTGAATGGGCTTTAGCCTTTTTCTTGGAGAGGCAGAGGAGAACAAGGGGCTTTTGACATTACTGACAATGTTAGGGGTACAATCCTGGCCCCACTGAAGCCCGTAGCAAAGTGCCCAGAGGGCCAGCATTTCACCCCAAGCATTTACACTCGCTCATGTGTCCCAACATCATTAGTCCACATGCAAATTGTTGAGAGACAGTCTCTTAGAGACCCTGATGCTAAACACATCTCTACTGGGAGGCATCTCTGAATGGAGCTAGGTCCTTACAAGAAAAGTAGAATCATGCCACAAAGTTACAGAAACCTTTATGCATAAGGGATCTTAGGCTGCCAGAGGAGTAGGTTTTAAGCCCCAAAGGAACCATTATGATCATCTAGTCAGGCCTGCTGCACAACATGCACTATGAGCCCCACCTCAGCAATTCCTGTGGCTCTGATCTGACAAGAAACAGCCTGTGAAGAAGACAAATGCAGTGAGGGTCGAGTCCCACACTTGGGAGTGCAGCAGAGTAAATAAAGGGGGCTGGAGTCACCTGTAGGCCCAGGGGGAGACGCTGTGCAGGTTGATAGGGAGGCGGTACTTTTTCTCGCTGGCTGCTCTGCCCCCTGCCGGGCAGCTGACATTCTGGTCTTTCTCCAGCGGCTCCAGCTGCAGCGTGTGGTGGAAGGCGCTGAGCATTCCCGCGCTGAGCCGCCCGTACAGCTGCTCCAGCAGCTCCTCCGGCCGGTCGGCGCAGGTTCGAGTCCGCACCGGGCGCCTGTTCACCTTGAAGGCTTCTGCTACGGGGTGCCCCAGCCCAGCGAGGAGAAGAGCTGCCAGCAGCGCCCAGCCCTGGAACAACACAGCGGGACTCGGCGCTTTCTCGTGGGCTGCTGCTGAGCCCTAGGGCGACGCGTTTCTATGGCCCCTGCCCCGCAGGCCCCCTGTAAGCCCCACCTGCGAGTCCGCACCGGGCGCCTGTTCACCTTGAAGGCTTCTGCTACGGGGTGCCCCAGCCCAGCGAGGAGAAGAGCTGCCAGCAGCGCCCAGCCCTGGAACAACACAGCGGGACTCGGCGCTTTCTCGTGGGCTGCTGCTGAGCCCTAGGGCGACGCGTTTCTATGGCCCCTGCCCCGCAGGCCCCCTGTAAGCCCCACCTGCTGCCGGCACAGCTGAGTGGCAGGGCGTTCCCCAGCCCCATTGCTCTCCCCACCCCCCACCTGGCCCCGAGAGCGCAGCGCGGCGGGGCTGCTCCCAGCCCTCCGGCCGGT